CTATTTAAGTGTAGCAACCTCAGACTCTACTGTGTGTTCAAATAGTACTTCCCTCTTCCTGTGTAGTAGTAAAGAATAAGAAAGTGCTCTTGCGTAGTCGGTAGTGGTGTCCGAGAAAGCTAGCGCTTGACGTCTAGATAATTGAACCTGCCACTTTCACGTTCACTATATTAAGGCTTTCGCTAGCTCATGCCAAGGGTGGAATAATTTCCCTTTTCTTTCGAAAGGGAATTATTAATAGTCGGTGGTGCGTAAAGTACAGTACACGCGCAGAGTCAGAGAGGATTAAGGGTGTGCCACCTTTCTGGGGTCTCCTGCTCGGTACCAGGTTCGTCTAAGAATGCAAATGATTGGCTTGCCCATCGGAGTGGCCTAGCCACTACGATTTTGAATAGAAGTGGAGTCCTCTCCACGAAAAGGACTGACAGTCTCGAAAACTTCAGCTTTTTCTTCAAACTGCAGTGGTACCCCTTGTACGCTATTGCTCACCCTAAAATTAAGCATCGAAAAAGCTATGATAGGACCTATCAGGGTGAATAGGTGGGCTCAACAAGGATTGGGAGCTGCAGTGGCGAACGTGGGCACGTCACTCGATCAACTGAATTATGTGTACTTGTTACCCTGGCATAAGAACTGCCAGTTGAGGTGAAGTTTCAAAGAGCTGCAACTTCTCATCTGCTCTCTAATTTTGTCCTGTGCTGCTATATGACGCTGTATAACTCATACTATCGAGAACTCTTGCTAAATTCTCCACAACCTTGGTGCTTTCTTAGTCGGCTTACTTTTCGGCTTCTTTACCATTTCCAGTGTCATGAAACCCGGGTGATATTTGAAAATGGTCTAGCCAGGGACCATAATAACAATCTTAACAAGTTTTTTTTCGTTTTAATTATGTCTTCACATTCTATGCCTTCAATGGTTCACATTCTTTTTCCAACAAAGTACTGATCTTTCCCCAATAATGCACCGATCCTTATATCGTTGAACACCACCGTAATTCCTGAGACTGACAGGAACCCATGTGTACCCTCAATGAGACCTCCCAGAACCCTTCTATAGACCTTTTGAAGCAACTACGTGAAAACGCTAGGCGAAACTGCAGAATACAGTCCCACTGTATGATTCCTGCAAACTTTAGTTTCTCCTGTAAATTTAAAATGCCTGAAAAATGACTCATATAACGTTTGCAAGCGTAAAGATCTTTGCAATATCACCTACATAAAGGTCGTTTCTGTTTATCGCCGCAATGAAACTAATCGCTCTCCGTTCAGGTGGCCTTTGATCGGTCACTGCGTAATTTTCACGTGGACAACCTGAAACTCGTTTAACACGGGTCCTGTAGCTGTTTTGTCCAATGCGAAGTACAACGACGAGTATTTTGCTTTCAGAATTACCCATATGGAATTTCGATGGGTCCTCCACAGGCCAAGCTGAAGGAAGCGATTCGGACGTATATTTGAAGCCGGTGGCCATTTTCCCGGATCCGTTCCGTCTTGGAGCTAACAAGCTCGTTCTATGCGAGACACTCGATAACAATAAGAGACCGACAGGTGAGTAAACGCTTGTTTTATTTCCAGATGGTTCTTGATCGATAGTGAATTCCTAGATGCTAACAAAGCACGGCCTTAGTGAGGGTTTTGGCTGGTCCCATTGTGATCCGTGGCACATGTTGGAGGCTGAGCACTCTGCAAAGGGCTGATATTCTGGCAAGCACCGTGCTTTGAAGACCCAGCGCCCAAGTGCCGTCCCAAATAGGCTCATGAAACGAGGGCCAGTTGCTGCAGTTCGATTGTTTTGCAATGAAATGGTATAAACCGACCAGTTGCTAAGTTGTTGACGGCCATTTATCAGTGACCAGTTCTTTTTGTTTGTGCCAATCACATGTTAACGGCCTTGGCCGTGGTGGCCTTGATTGGATCGCGTTGAAATAGAACCTTTTATGATTGTTTTTCTAACTCCACTCTAAGGGTTAATGAACAAGAGCACGCCAGGGTGATCGGGAACAGGAAACTCGAGCGGTACGGGATGCTGCATCCAACAGGGCTGGCCTGTAATGATAATTTCTGACCGCTGTTGAACAAGCGCTGCATCAAGGACCAATGCAGTGTAAGTCTGCCGTCTGAGGGTGCTGGGGAGGGGGGGGGAGGGGGGCAGTTCGGCGACGGGAGGAGAGCATTTCGCACTTCTGCTGCTCCACTAGTTCCGGTTTGCATATCTCATTCTGGTGGAAGCTGTGAACTCCTGTGAGCTGGAGCAAGCTCGTCGAGCCACCATGGTAGGAGCTTTCGTAAGCTTATGAAGTAGCTCTCCAGTCGACACGTCGATGGGAAGTAGCAAAAGTGCAAAATGCATCCCGTCGCCGGGTTAGGGTTAATTGAAAGGGCTAGCGCTTGAAGGTATCCAGGGTTCAGATCTTCTAGGTGGGAGCTCGAATGCGTCTGGCACTGCATTGATCAACACCGACTGCAACGATGAATTAGCAAAAGGAACTGGCGAAAGTGCAAAATGCCCCACCCCTGTGCCAAACAGCGCCCTTTTGACCTATGAGTCTGAGTGATGGTAGCAAACAATTTACTGCAAGAACCAGAAAAATAACGAGAGGATTATCGAAGGGAAATGTTTCACGGCGCTTGCAGATTGCTAGGAGACGATCTTCGCTCCGCTTCGTGATGGTTGCACCACTGACGTCAACCTAATCAGCTTTCCTTCGTTTGCCCGACTATTCACTGAGCAGTTAGTTGATCTAAAGGCCATGAAACGGCTACGGTTTCCCGCGGGAAGGATCTCTTAGCAAACAAGGAAGTTATAATTGGTTTTCCGCTGGTAGTACATTAGAACGGGTGTTTTAGTTGCTTCCTCACAGGTTCTGAATTATGCTGGATTTGGGCAGGGGTGTTAACAAATTAGGTGGGACCTATAGGAACCTGGTAAAGTTCCATTTTGTGTTGTTCGCCTTGCAGCTGCTGTAGTACACGTAATCCTTAACACTTGACGCTCATACTTGCGCTTGCTCATACTTAGAGTGAAAAGATTCCAGAAGCGTTTTCGATCGTCTGTTTCCCTAGATGGGCTCAATTTTTAGCTCACATCGACTGGGCAGAACTAGTACATTT